TTTCTTTCTTTCTTTCTTTCTTTCTTTCTTTCTTTCTTTCTTTCTTTCTTTCTTTCTTTCTTTCTTTCTTTCTTTCTTTCTTTCTTTCTTTCTTTCTTTCTTTCTTTCTTTCTTTCTTTCTTTTTTTTAAATACACTTTGATTTTCTCCAGGGTTATTTTTTCTTAGCAAAATACAAGGATCTTCCATTTCATGTATTGTCCAACTCCTTTTCTAAGGGTAGCCTGTTATGCAGCATGGACAACATCCAAGGAGCTTGTCCAGGCTGCAGATGATATTAGAATACTTTCATGTTTGTTCACCAGCCAGTGTGGGCAAGGTTGTGGCTGATATGAGACTTTTGACTGTTATTCTGTTCTGCCTGTTTATCAATATACATTTCTTCCACTAAGTGCTCAGCATCCTCAACACATTTACATTGGTGTAGAACCCTGATAGAGCTCAACTGAATTAGAGAATCTGATTAAAGAACACAGGCTATGTGGATGATTATTACCCTCCCACTTTGTGAGACTGAGCTGGGCCTAGGATGCCAAGTATTAAGTGAAAAACCTTGCCCTTGTCACAGGAATGAAGATATTATATCACCAAGCTCATCCTCAGCACATGGCCTGCTCCAGACAGTGCAGGAACACAACACAATAGTAACCAAAGGATGCTAACCAAAATTTCCAAATCTAGTAATTTACATCAGCTTTTACTATGTTACTCTTCTATTTAGTCTTTCTCTTTAGAAAAGTACTATTAGAGAGATGAGTTATTAGACCTTGAATTGTATTTACAAATAATGAAACCATTTCTCATTGGCTCTCCCAGTCACATGGATTCAATGGGTTCCACTGTGTGACTGTGTTGACATACAATTTGGAACAATGTGATTTTTGGGAAACAAAAACTGTTGTTGGTTCCAAGGCTAACATAAATTAAAGGGAAGTACACCAGAACCTGCGTGGAGAAACCAACTCGGAGTCTGACTTCCTTTGCCATTTGAGAGACTAGTCCATCTAGGGTTAAAACCTTCGTGAATGTGGAATGCACCTTTTTTTTTCCTATGTTGAAGCTTTCCCTTCCATTTCTTATGCAAAGATGAATGATAGACCTGTCTTCACTCCAAAAACAAAAACATTCTATTAAGAAAGAGAGTTTTTATGATTATATTTACTTTGTGGGTATATTCTGCTGGGAAAACAGTTCAATTCATATCAGGAATCCCTAGTAAGTCATATTATGTCAGTCCAGTATGACCCATTAGCAGAGGTTACCCCTCAGGCTGGGTGTGAAGGTGCTAATGCCTCCCTGGAGGGGAGTTATCACAGCTGAGTCATTGGTGTGAAGACAAAGAAACACTCCTTGCAGAGTTCTTTACCACAACTTGTAGCCTGAGGAGTCAGGTGTGCCCTGGACAGTTGTTGCAAATGATGCATTATTAACAGTCCATCAGAAATGACAGAGAGAGTGTAGATTACACAGTTTTGGTCATACCCACATAGTGATAAACTGGTCAGAAATCTGTCTAGGACAGAAACTGGGTATGGAATGAGGTGTATTT